TTACCAGAAGGGAGGGGGAACAGTCGCTGAGTGGCTAAAAATGGAATGTTCATTATACCAGGTGCTAAAACTACAATTGATGATGACAAAGAGACCCTTTACTGTTTTCTCTTAACTGCTCTCTGTAGCTCAGGGACAAGAGTGGTTTAGTTAGCAATCGTCAGTTAACCCTTCTCACCATAGTTGTCTTGGTCAGGGGTTTGGGGTTACTAGGAACAGAAACTTTCTCAAACTAGTTCAAGCAACAAAAAAGGGCAGAGGAAGTTATAATATGGACAGAACTTACTGAATCCAAGGGCAGAGCCACCCAAGGGATCATACTCCTTGTTGAAAACGTGCTTTGTGCGAGGTGGCACTGTGTCTACACTAGTAGAGTTTATGAATTATCACTTTAAGTTTCAGTTCTGGCCACAGCACCATATCACACCAAAACAGGAGAGTTACTTAAGTTCTAGTAAGGGCCATCGCCATCTCATTAGCATTAGCATTTTAGGTTGACTAATTTACAAATCTGTAAACGTGCAGCCAAATCAGGTGGGGTTAGTGAAGCCAGCATGAGCATTCATCATATACAGGATTAACATACCTGGGTTGGCTAACTTGTATATAGCCAAGAACTGCAAGGGATGCAAACAGCAACATCCCTAGGGAAACTGATCACAGAAAGAAAGCTCCCCACTCCACAGTAAAAGGACCTTGAGTTTCCCAGTTCAGTGAATTTGTCCCCTACCAGGTTCCTGCTGTCCCTCTCCTCTACCAAAGGCTCTGGACCTTAAAGCTGCTGGAGAAAAAGAAAACATCCTGAGCTACAATGGGCCATCGGAGGTACCCACTTAGAAATTAAAGTACTGTGGTCATTTATCTTACCCCAAAAGAATAAGTGTATAAACAAAATTTTAGTTTATATAAATGAGATCCATTATTTAAAAAAATTATGTTGAATAACCTGTAAGTAATTTGAAAAGGAGACTTCTGGTCAGTTTCTACTTATATCAAAGTCAGTGGGGTAAATGCAGTGTGGTTCACTGTAGGTCTTAGAACCCAGTAGCCCTAACAACCCTGAACTCCATGTAACTAGCATCTTTATTATAGCCCACTTCCCACCTGCCAGACCCTTAACAAATGCATTACCTCAAGCCTCACAATTCTTTGAGGTAGGTGCAAAAAGCCAAAGCTCAGAAAGGTAAAAGAAAAACAAAACACAACTTGTCCAAAGACATAGGCAATTAGTGGAAGAGACAGGATTGAACCCAGGTTTCCAACTACAAAATCCACATACTTTGCTGCTAACCTGACATGAAATATCTATGAGAAGCAGTGGGCATTTAGAAACAGACTGCGGCAGACACAGTGCTTTGAAATGATCTCCTGTTTCCAGGAAGGCCTAAGTAGGTCCTGTAAAGCTCACACTCTTGGGTAACTTTCCAGTAAAAAAGCAACTGTGCTTAACATCTTCTTTGTTAAGAAAAGGAACTAATTTCTTCAAAGCAAAAAAGCACCAGGGTCCCATACCAGGCTTCTTTCCAAAGTTAGATTGCAGTATACTGAAGACAGTGTGCAAAACAGGCAGGATATAGTAGAGTAGCTGACCTGAGGAGCTGAGTGTGAATCCCGGACTTTCCAACTGACTACCTTGGTGAACTTGAGCAATTCAGTTAACCTCCAAATGTACTTTCCTCTTATACAAAGTGAGATGATAGCACAGATGAAAATGCATGTAAAACAGAGCTTAGAACCCTGCACCAGAAAGCTGCTCTCGGCCGGCCCGGTGGCGCACTGGATAATGCGCCACTTGGGAAGCGCGGCGGCGCTCCCGCCCGAGGGTTCGGATCCCACATACAGACCGGTTCCCGCTCACTGGCTGAGCGAGGCGCGGGAGCAACACTGAGGGTTGCGATCCCATTGCCGGTCCCCGGCCCGGTACGGGGGCAACACTGAGGGTTGCGATCCGTTGCCGGACAGGGAAAAAAAACAAAAGACAAAAAAAAAAAAAAAAAAAACTTGCTGGGCCGGCCCGTGGCTCACTCGGGGGAGTGTGGTGCTGATAGCACCAGGGCCCCGGGTTCGGATCCTATATAGGGA